CCCAAAGCCAATACAGGTAACTGACCCTACTGAAGGACAGGATCATAGGGGTTTTTGCCCTTGACCCCTAGCCTGACACAGGTTCCTAAAAAAACAGCAACGCTCCTTTCTGCCAAAGGGTTAGCTCCTATTTCTTTCCTTTAAACATCACCATCCCAAGTTCTCTCTTTTGGCTCAGCCAAAGGGAAGCCTAAACCTGATCCGGAAGACTACACCTGATCCGAAAAGCCGAGAGCCCATGCCGTTTTACAGCCAAAGCAAAATAACCAGTCAACACTGTTTGCCCAAGAGGTTATCCGGCTCATAATGACATCTTTGCAAAGTCTGCGCTTTGGAGAGCAGGTCAATTGAGTTCTGGCCTCTGAGAAGTCTTTGGCCGCTGCATCCTTGACGCAGCTCATCCCTGCGTTGGTCCGGACAGGTTCTGTGTACAGCAGTCAGTCTCTGTCCCTCTGCTCTCTGTTTATGCACTTCTTTTTCTTTCTTAAAGTGAAAGGTCAGCAGGAGGGAGGTGCAGGGAAAGCATTCATTCTTAAATGCTACTGTCTTGTGTGTGAAGCTGCTACTGTCTTTTCCCACATGCCCTACTAGTCAATTTGTTTGAAGTTAAAGCTCCATTCCAGGTTGGAAAATGCTAATGTTTAACCAGTCTCCTCTCAATTCAAGATGAAGTTTCAAACTCAAGTTCCTCCACCTAAAAATAGTATAAACAAATACACGCATGCACACATGTAAGGAAAGAATCAAGTAGTCAACAACAGTGGAATAAAACACTTCCCGTTATTCCATGCTGGAGCAAGGGCTCAGCATAACACAGAGAACCATGGTCAAATTCTGTCTTCTTCTGTGCACCAAGGGAGGGAATGCTTCAGCTAAAAATAAAAATAAAAAAAAAAAATCACAAGCCAACTAGGCTCCAAAGGTACCAGAGGAAATGCCTGCCCCTTATTTTATATACAAGATTTTGTTAGGGTCTTAGCTTCACCTACTGTAATACCTGGAGATGAAGTCAATGGTCAGCAGCTATCACTGTTGGGAAACTTAAAAATCCAGGACATGACCCTACTAAGTCATCAAGGACAGATGATGACTATTAAGTAAAAAATAAAATACTCTGCTATGACTTCACAGCAGAGCGTTTAAGTGAACAGGGACAAGAAATATCACTTTAATGGTTCTCATGACTGCATGGCCGCTAACAGCTTGACAGGATCTATCAATTAAAATCTATTCCTAGCAGCACTAGTGATGGCAACTCCAGACTGTTCAGCTATTTTTGGCACATTATGAATATGAAGTGGTTAAAAGATGCATCAGAAAAGCCCAAGATATCATCCATCTAATTATAATCTTTAAGGGAATCTTTGTCTCTTCCGTTCCTCAACTTGCATTACTTCACAAACAATTGGCGTTCAGGCAAAATCACGCTCTGTGAAGTTGGCACACAGGTTCCACTCAATTTAGCACATCACAGTCTGGTTGTGAGTAATGTCTTCAAATTCCTGCAGCACTGCCTCAAAACATCCACTTCCTTAGAAACACACACTCCAATAAACTACCAGTATGGCTATTTCTAGCAGACTTCAACTGAAATTCAATCTGAGAGGCTAAAGGATGCCTGCTGACTGCAGGCTCAGAATTTGCAATAAAACTCCAGTTCCCAGCAATATAGCTATATCTAAGTAACAACACGCAGGCTGTATATAGCATTTTTGCTAGGTTGGTCACTGATTTTTTTTTTTTTTTAATAGTACTTATTATTCCATTTCACAAATGGAGAAACAAAGGATCAACGTTTCCCAAACTTGGGGTAC